AAAATATCTGGATAAATTCGTGGCTTTCTCTCTTCAAAGTTCGAATTTTCCACAGGAAGCCCGTGAAGTTGCCTACCTTGTTAGTATATTGTATAGTAGAAAAACAAAATTGTTACCAAGGGGACTAGGTAAGACGACAAAAAATCGATAGCGCGCGCATAAAAAGACAAAGACAAGACACCATTTAGTATTTCCTTCATTTATTAGAGTGGTTAGCCTGTGATTATTGCGCGATCATTTGCGATCCAGTATCGGGATCATTTGCGGTCCGGGTACATTTGCGGTCCTATTCGGGGATCATTTGCGGTCCCGGGATCATTTKCGGTCCTGGGATCATTTGCGGGCCTGTACAGTACTTTTTCACACCCTATTTATAGATAGACCTATTATGAGAGACCATTCTTGTACCCAGACCCTTTTCACCCAAAACATCGAAGCCATTCTCTCAGTTTGGCTAGTCTTCCAGTGGGCTTCCGGTCATTTTGATTTTCTGGGAATTGACAAATGGCTTTTGGTCACCCTGTGAGTTCTACAAATCGACATGGCGGTTTCAGTTGATGCCCAAAACATTTTACTTCTCACTGACTCTTATAAGGTACAAGAAATCGTGTTGTAAATTGTCATTCAAATTAAGTCTTTTATTAATTTATTTACAATCTTTCAAGACTATTTTACCAAGTTGAGTTCGAAGAACTATTTTATGAAACATGTAACAGCAAATATAAGAAATGACTGAAGCAGATCGAACTGGCAATTCTTGGAAACTTTTGAGGCTTTTCTTTGCCCGGGCCTGCTAAAAAATCTCTGCAACTCTTATTAGTTTAGGGTATATTGTAAAATGTAAATATTTTGTGCTCTCTAAGTAGCAATGACAACGGTTTATATTGCAAAAGGATTAYGACAGTCCTCGATTATTAATTATTGATTTTAGAGTGCACGCACTAAACCCCGCCCGTGAATAATATTTAGTACTAATTAGTTGTAATACGTACAGAATCTTTTGTTTCCTAGTCTATTGTTTGATTATCACTATTTAGTACTAAAAATTAGTATTTGTTTCACAGGTTTAGTGCGAGCACTGGCTACTGTAACGTCCAGAAACCCTAATCCAAACCCTAACCCTAACCCCCCAAAAACTAACCTTAAACTTTATTATTTAATAGATAATTACTGAAGCACGCAGCATTCGTAGGTATAATGCAGGCAGCTGAGGGCGTAGCCTGCATTATACCTACGAATGCTGCTTGCCGAAGTGATTATCTAGTATAATTATTGTTCTTATCAAAATCCAATTGTTTTCTTTCTAGCTTGTTTATCATAGAAACAAAGCCAATAATGAATGAACTAAACACGTCTGATTTTCCTCTATGCATTCGTGGGGATAATGCACACTGAAAACAATGGATTTTGATAAGATCAGTAATTATATATGGAATAGTCTTACATGAAGTAGTAAGGTCGGTCAGTCGGTCGGTCGGTC